GCGCCCGGCCTAAACTAATGTTTCTTAACACAAACAAACAAACAGAAAAACTAATCCTGACTAAAATCCTTAAAGAATGATTCTGAATAGGTCTAAGTCAATTAACTTTTGAGTAAAATCGTGACATGATGACAGCCTTTCCTTAACAATGGTTAAGTGGAAGTAATGACATTAATAAGCATAGGGAGGTGCTGAATACTTTACCAATAAACTTCCGGTGACAAATAATCGTTTCATCCTTAATGAAACAAATTTGTCACAGTTTGACAACTGTGGGCAGCATCCGTAGAAACCTCTCCCGCCAAAGACAATAAATATGTGCTCCAAATTGGTTTTTGACCACAAATGCCACTGTCAGAACCCTTCCTCGGCTTTTCTCACGTATTCCCTTCCCCCCTCACCTCCAGGGAGCTGGGTAGGGCAATGAGGAAGCACAGCTGGCTGAATACAAGGCAGCCATAAAGAGCTGTGCAGGGGGAGGGTGGTAAACAGGAACCATAAAAGAAAAAAGGAATGTAGGTAAAGCTTGCGCGTTTCTTCTCCTTTAGTTCTAGCCACAAAGCATGATCTTAGCTTTGTCCCTTCTTCGAAACCTTGGTATTTTTCATCCCAAGCACCTTGGCCTTCCGCCCCCTGCCCCCTCCATTCTAGCAACCCCTTTTTGCTGTAAACCTGGGCTTGCTCAAGAAATCTAAGTACTATACTCAAGTGCTGTGTTTTCACTGCTCCTAATACTACCCAATTTCCTGACCACAAAACGAAACTTCTGCAAATACGTGCTTTTTGACATTAGTGTACTTCCATGCATGAAAACACCTTTACCCAGTCCTCCAGAGAATTCTGTGCTAAAAATTTACTACTAACAGTTTAGCATATGCTTTGAGAATGAAGCCAAAATCTGAGTTTTCACTCTGCTCTGTCCTCCATTTCTCAATGTTTTCTTCGTGTTTCAATTCTTTCTGATTTTTCCCAGTATCCATGTTATTTTCTGATTTTCTTAAATCCTTTAATAGTTTAAGTCATTATACTTTTCTATTTTTTTCTATTTTTTTTTTTGTTTGCACATTAAGCAAGTGGATATGGTTTTCTAAGTTTTAAAAACATCGCCATGGGCTGAGCATG